ATTTTGCTTGACGACATTTTCGCTCTACAGTGATTTCACTGGAACGAATTAACGTCATCAAGCGAGGCACCACTGTAGCGTCAAGTTTCCCCAGAGCAGACCACCCCTTATTCCTTAGTTTTTCTCAACTGGCGCTTACGGTTTCCATAATTCACTCAGAAGCACTGGTAGGAGAAAAGGATAAAATGTTCCATTTCCTCAAAGTTTTCCATAGATTAAAACAAACAGTATTCGGAATGAATAAAAAATTAACTCCTTATGTGAAAAGAGCTGAACTGGTTAACCAGCTTCACAATCAGCAACATGAGTTGCTGACTGACTACATGGATCTAACTCTCCACACACTGGCTAACTGAACACAGACAGCCGAGATTCAAAAAGAAAAAAAAACGTGGGAAAAGCATTCTTGAGAGGTGTGGCTCTCTTCGAAATCTGGGGCAGAGACGGAGCAACAAATACCGGATTGATTGATGCTCATCCCAGCCCAGAGAGGTCCCGTCCACCTCTCAAAGCCAGTGCCTAAAAGTTGCCAACAATTCCAACAAAATCTGCAGAGCTACCTCTTGGGGCTCTGGTTCCGGATCCTGTCCCCTCTTGGTCACCCTCGTTTGGAATCATCCCAGGTTTTAATTAGACTTCTTGAAACATTGAGGACGACGATAGTATGCCAGGGACGGTCCGCCCAAAGCCGAACAGAGAGGGACCCGAGCTCGGAGGCAGCCGGTCACGGGGGATAAAGCCAACTTGGAGAGAAAAATCCTTTCCTTGCCTGCGGAAGGACTCGGGAAAAGGAGGCCAACCTGAGGTCCTCAATGGTTGTTGTGGGTTTTACTGAGGTCCTCAGCTTGGTAGCAGCAACAGAGAAGGCCTTCCCTTGTCTCCTCGCCAAACTGGAACGAATTTGATTTAAATACAATCGATTTAAAAGCTGTGGGTTGGAACTTTTTTAAAAACGATTTTCTAACAATTTAAATTTTAAAAATTGATTTTTTAAAAAAAATTAATCATTTTTTAAAAAATCATCGCTTGGTATCCACCTTGGACCAAATGCCACCCGTGACAGTGGTAGGACCAAGAGAAAGGCTTTCTTTGAGGATTTCAAAAGCCGAGTGGGCTCAGAAAGGGAGATGCATGCTTTCGTGGAGCTTGGATCCAAGCGATGCAGGGCTTTGTAAGACAAAACCAGCACTCCGACCGGGGCCCAGAAACAGACCAACAACCAACAGAGCTGTTATAAGGGGTGGTGTGTGTGTGTTCATGTGCTCCCTGTAACTAGCTCCAGTTGCCGTATTTTTCCGTGCACAGTGGTGTCTTGCTTGACGAGGATAATTCGTTCAGTTGAAATCGCTGTTAAGCGAAATCCTTGTCAAGCAAAACGAAAAAGCCCATTGAAATGCACTGAAACTGGTTCAATGCGTTCCAGTGCGCTAAATACCTCAGCATCCAGTGAAGATCCTCCACAGGGCAGCCATTTTCAGTGCCTGTAAAGCGAGGAATCCATCATGAAAACACAGCAGGGAGCCATTTTGCACAGTGGGTGGCCATTTTAGAGCCGCTGATCAGCTGTTTCAAAATAATCATTTAGCGAAAAATCGGTTCCCAAAGCAGGGAACCGATCATCGTTAAGTGAATTTTTACCATTAAAACATCGTTTTGCGATCACAAAAGCAATCCCAAAACCTTCATCGTCAAGCGGTTTCATCGTTTAATGAGGTAATCATTAAGCGAGGCACCACTGTATGATACTTTTTCCTAAAATAGAGTAAAAATTGAGGGTCATCTTATACACGGAAGTAAGGGGGAGGCATCAAGGGGCTGTAGGACCGCTGCCCATTGATGGTGCACCCTTTTCATCGCTGCTTTACCTATAGTAGGAATGAAGTAGATAACCCCCCCCCCTTTCTTATTTGGGGTTGAAAAAGTGGAGGTTGTCTTCTACATCGGGTCGTCTTACAGTATACACGGAAAAATACTGGCTGTGGCGTTTTGGATCTGCTGAAGTTTCCGGACGGCTGTAGGACCGCTGCCCTTTGATGGTGCAGCCCTTTCATCGCTGCTTTGCTTATAGTAGGAATGAAGTAGACAACCCCCCCCTTTTCTTATTTGGGGTTGAAAAAGTGTAGTTTGTCTTCTACATCGGGTCGTCTTATACACGGAAAAATAATGCCTGCGGCGTTTTGGATCTGCTGAAGTTTCCGGACAAAAGCAGCCCCACTTACAGCACGTTAAAACAATCCGTTACAGCAGTCTGATCTTCTACATCGGCTTATACACGGAAAAATAATGCCTGCGGCGTTTTGGATCTGCTGAAGTTTCCGGACAAAAGCAGCCCCACTTACAGCACGTTAAAACAATCCGTTACAGCAGTCTGATGTTCTTTTGAAAGGTGTGGTTCAATTATAAGGAATCCTAGCAATTTCTCAGCTAGAGCTGCCTAGCCCCCTTCTCCAAAGACTGCAGAGTATTGCAAGAACTTCCACCTAAAGAGAAATCACGGAATTCCTGAGAAATGACTCGCAGCGAAAGCAGCCCCACTTACAGCACGTTAAAACAATCCGTTACAGCAGTCTGATGTTCTTTTGAAAGGTGTGGTTCAATTATAAGGAATCCTAGCAATTTCTCAGCTAGAGCTGCCTAGCCCCCTTCTCCAAAGACTGCAGAGTATTGCAAGAACTTCCACCTAAAGAGAAATCACGGAATTCCTGAGAAATGACTCGCAGCGCTCCGGACAGCATTAAACGGATACATCGATGCAGTGTCGCTCCATGTGCCGCCCGCTATTGGCGCACTCACCTGTGAAAAACAGATGTCTCTTGGTGGTTTCCTTCCTCTTCTCTAAACAGGGGTTCAGGAGGCGAAGGAGCTGTAAAACACGCTCTTCTCGGCGGGACTCGGTCAGGCAAGCGTCGTTCATGACGAGATACGGGTAAATTTTCCCATTATGGCCTCGGATATAGAGTCTTCTGGCAGCAGTGTTATGCTTTTGTACTATTTCCACTCTGGGCATAAATCTATTAAGAAGAGAGAGAGAGAGAGAGAGAGATAAAAACACCTGACTTTTCAAAGTTTAAAGCTTCATTTCTCTCCTCAAAGATGAAAGCTAATTTTTTTTTAAAAGGGGGATTGAAATGCCGTACTTAACGCTAACAAAGGGAAGCATATTAGTGACCGCGCTGCTGCTCAGACCAACACTCCCATTATGAATTTTTATAATGACACAACCTTTTAAGCAGCTATTTTTCCCCCCTTCTGTTATGATGCTCAGCCGAGATTCGGTATGAAAAGCTTCCATAGGTGTGTGTGTATCACTCTCTCTTGGGTCTTCTTCAAATTGAACAACAAAAGTTCCTTGTTTTTGAACACAAAAATGGTGTGGAACACAGAAAATGGTGTAGAACGGGTTCCAATTTTTGTCCTGCTCACAATGAACCCACACGAGGGTGTCTCATGGGTGTGTAAGCACAAAGCTGAAGAGCTTTGGAATTTGAAGCTTTTTGGAACTCCAAAGAGCCAATCTTAGTATACCTTAAAAGGTGAGGGAATCAAGTGGAGGCACATCCTTGTTTAAATGTATTTAATGACATTCTTTAAAACCTGCCGTCCTCAAAACTGAGAGCCATCGTATGCAGCAGCAAGAGCGTTGACTCAGGAAAACTGGATTTAAGCCCCCGAAAAAACCCACAGGGTAAAGTGGGGTCAGTAACCTCCATCTCAGCTTGACCTCCCTCAGAGGGTTGATGTTGAGGTGGAGAAAATAAACGAAGTAACAGACAAATGCCTGTGGACAGCCCTGTGCTCAACAAGACCCAAAGAATCACAAAGGAATATTTTAGACCAAAGATGAGAAAGCAGGCCTTCTCAGTGGTGGGCCCTCCTCTGTGGAATAAGCTTCTACCTGACGTGCTGGAGAAGCCATCCCTCCTGATTTTTAGGAAACTACAGTGGGGTCTCGACTTACAAACGGCTCGACATACGAACGTTTCGACTTACGAACCGCTCTCATAGTAATATATGGACTCGACTTACGAACTTAGATTCGAGTTACGAACTCTTTTTTCCCCTTTTTTTTAAAGCTAAGTCATAATGAGGAGGTGGAGAAAATAAACGAAGTAACAGACAAATGCCTGTGGACAGCCATGTGCTCAACAAGACCCAAAGAATCACAAAGGGATATTTTAGACCAAAGATAAGAAAGCAGGCCTTCTCAGTGGTGGGCCCTCCTCTGTGGAATAAGCTTCTACCTGACGTGCCGGAGAAGCCATCCCTCCTGATTTTTAGGCAACTACTAAAGACAGAACTTTATAAAGCAGCCTCCAAGAACATATCCCAGAATTTTATAAAGCAGCCTCCAAGAACATATCCCAAGGGTTTCTTGTTTCCTTGACTCCCCACACAGCCAACCACCCAGGGAGACTTCCTGTCCTGCCTCCTTGCCAGAATGGTCAGCTACTCAGGGAGGCAGGGAAGTGCCGGTCCGACTCCTTCCCAGATTGATGTGATGATGACAACGAAGAACCTGAGCACTAGTGAGTGGACCGGCTGGTTCTTGGGGGGGGGGGAGTGAGTGTGGTGTTGTGATTCGTATCCATATCCCCAGGAATACGAATACAAAGATTACACATCTAGTCTACTGCAATGGACTAGCAACTGGATTTAGTCTCCCTCGGCACCTGTAACTAGTTGTAACTAGAACTACTCCACCACAGAGAACATCCGAAGGATGGCTACCCTTCCACGAACTCTATGTTACCTTGCAATCTTGATGTAATAATGCGTCGGTTTTGGCATCAGGAATTCCCCAGGAATTTCGACTTCAGCTGTTTGGGCAGAGAAGTTGCTTAGAAAGCGGCATTTTTCCTCGATGAGGAAGAACTTGGGAAGCTGTTTGGTCTTCGCCTCGAGGATTTTGATCCATTTCTTCAGCTTCGAGATCAGATTGTGAAGTTTCATGGAGCCTGGCACACTGAAGTCAAAATCTAACGATTGAAGGAATACGTGTTTTTTAAAAAAACAGTAATAATAAAATAACAGAAACACTGCTGGTGAAAAACAGGAATTATGCAGCTACCCAAATTGTTGTGAAAAAAGTTAAGCGTAACTAAGGTCCACCGGCTGCCAATCCATTTCTGGGCACAAATCAGAGTGCTGATTCTAACCTATAAAGCCCTAAATGGCTTGGGTCCAAGTTACCTCAAGGATTGTGTCACCCTTTGTGAGCCTGCTTGAGTGTTAAGATCATTGGGAGAGACATTTCTCTAGGCCCCACCCTTTCACTGATGGGTTGGGGGGGACCCGGGAGAGGGCCTTCTCTGTGGCTGCTCCCAGACTTTGGAACTCCCTCCCACAAGAGGCCCAGCTGGCCCCCTCTTGGCTGTCCTTCCACAAGCAGGCAAGACCTTTCTCTTCAGGCAAGCTTTCCCCGCGTGACCTGCATGGGGTCCTCAAAGGGATGGTTATACCTTCCTGCTTTGAATGTGTTTTCGGTGTTGCTTTTATTTTTACTGCTTTTGAGGGGCAGTGTTTGTTTTATCTCTTTTTTTTTAACTATTTGCATACTTACCGTTTTTAGCTTTAAAGATTGTCTTTTAAGGAGGAAGACAGGGTAAAAACATTTAAAATAACATGATAATAAACTATGTTTGATGTCAACATCCTGCATGGTTAGATATATCAAACTGCATTCCTCCCTGTCCAGCTAAAATTTAAAAAGGAGGAGCTGCAACAACAGTAACATGAAGGGAATCTGGGAAAACGATTATTGGGTAATTTAAAATTATTATAGCTATTTGATTTCAACCTAACACAAACATTACCAAGCCAAGCCATGTATAAAACAGATGAGCCTTGTTGGCTAAACGTGATTAAAAATGATCTGTTCCCATTTACACAGAACTAAAACGGCAGAGATTAAGCATTAAATCTGCTTGTTTCATCATTTATTCCAACATCATGTGGGCACTATTTTCTTATTAGGCAATGCTTGCACCTGATTTTTTTTTTTAAATACCGTATTTTTCACTCCATAAGACGCACCTTTCCATAAGACGCACCAATTTTTTAGAAGAAGAAAACAGGAAAATATAATCTGTTTTCTTTGCTCCATAAGAGGCACAGACTTTCCACCCCCGTTTTGTGGGGAAAAAGTGCATCTTATGGTGCGAAAAATACGGTAATAATATTATGAGCTTCTCATCCCACACTAAGGTAATAAATTCTGATAACTGCTTCATCAGTGGCTTAGTGGTAAATTTATAATTATTGGTGCTCATGATGACAGTTCTTTTAGCCAGCCCCTTCCACAAGGAGAGTCCAAAAAGTGCAGTAATCCAGACTGGTCCAGGAGCAGGTCTTTTGTAAAGTGAATGGCTCTTAATTGTCCATTCAAGACCAAACTGCCTTCAAATACTTTGTAGCACAAGAGGATATTGCATTAAACTCTGTTCCTGGGAAAACCCATGTCTCTCCAAGCCATTTTTAAAATGGCACCTGATCTTGGTGTGTATGTGTTGCGTGTGTGAACATGGAAGCCTCACAGAGTCAAAAACTTTCTGAATAAAACCATTATTCAGAAAGGTTTTGACTCTGTGAAGCCTGGCATCAGTACAATCCTGCGTATCTCCCACTGGCCTGAGGTAAAAATGAAGCTGGATTTGGATCATCCCACAACTCTCAGGTAGGACCCAAATGTGATCTGGGCAGCTATCCATGGAGAGCAGCTGCAGTTCCAAATGAAAACTAATTGGAAAAAAATTCTTACACATGAAAGCAGACCCGGGATCAAGTAGAGATGTATGCCCTTTCCCCAATTCCCCAGGTACTTCACATATATTGCACCTTTTTGATGCAGTGTTTGGCTTGTACATGCTAATCAGGATTTCAAGAGCTTATTTTCATCAAGACACACGCAAACACACACACATGTGGTCTGAGCAAAGACTGAGGTCTCTAGGCCTACGAAGGCTGATAAGTTGCACTAAAGTTGGCCCACTCCATCACTTAGGACTTGGTGAGTCCATTGACTCAAATGAGCTTACTCTGGCTGTGATTCACTACACCGAGGCCAGTTGTAACTAGAGTTGGCCCATTTGAATCAATGGAACTTAGGCGTTGACGCAGCAAATCTCAACGAGGCTAAGCCACAGGATTTCAGGCAATAACCCTTTAGAGCAATGGTCCCCAACCTTGGGCCTCCAGGTGTTCTTAGACTACAACTTCCAGAATCCTTCACCACCACCTCTGCTGGCCAGGATTTCTGGGAGATGAAGACCAAAGGTTGGGTATCACTGCTTCAGAGGAAGACCTTTAAGAGGGAGATGGCCTCTGAAAAAGATCCAATTGCTAAATGAGGATGCAGGGTGGAAAGAAAGCCAACTGACTGTTTTGGAAGGAATTGTTGTTTAGTCATTAAGTTGTGTCCGGCTCTTCGTGACTCCATGGACCAGAGCACGCCAGGCTCTCCTGTCTTCCACTGCCTCCCGGAGTTGGGTCAGATTCATGCTGGTTGCTTCGATGTCACTGTCCATCCATCTCATCCTCTGCCGTCCCCTTCTCCTCTTGCCTTCACACTTTCTCAACATCAGGGTCTTTTCCAAGGAGTCTTCTCTTCTCATGAGATGGCCAAAGTTTTGGAGCCTCAGTTTCAGGATCTGTCCTTCCAGTGAGCACTCAGGGTTGATTTCTTTCAAAATGGACAGATTTGTTTTCTTTGCAGTCCAGGGGACTCTCAAGAGTCTCCTCCAGAACCACAGTTCAAAAGCATCAATTCTTCAGCGGTCCTCCTTCTTTATGGTCCAGCACTCACTTCCATACATCGCTACTGGAAAAACCATAGCTTTGACTATACGGACCTTTGTTTGCAAGGTGATGTCTCTGCT